AGACAGACAGAGAGCATATGACAAATTAAAGTATCCCGCATACAAAATAATGAATTTTTTTCTATAGATACCATAAAAATGTAGAACTAAAATGGCGAAACTGCTAGATTGATGTGACTTCCATAAAAACGAAATCAGTAGTAATAAAAATTATAAGTACTATATGTCATGCCCAGAAGGAAATATAAATTTAAAATATACATGGCAAGCAAGCATTAAAAATGTAAAATGACTCACAAACCAACTATTAGTTCTTGGGGCTGAAGAGTTTTCCAATTTTTTGGGTCCTTCAGCTCATCGCTTCTGAAGAAGAAGATAAATGAATATTCGTGAATAAAACAATACATTGGCATTCAAAAATATGGGCTTACGACTGCTTCTCGATTATAGACAAATCCTCCTCTTCATCAGAGACTAGATCGATCGGACTATCGTCCATTAAGGAGTGTATGCGACCAAAAGCCCTGTAAATCAATAAAAACATGGCATACTCAATTTGAATTGATTTGTACTCCTCGATGACAAGATCGAGGCGTGAATGAAGGGTCTTGTGTTGCAGGAGGGCTTCATTTGCTTGCTCAAGGACACGAAAGAGCACGTCCTCTAGACCGGTCGTTTGGACAGCAGCCTCAAGAATACCAGATCTCTCTAATGCCCATGGCATGTGCGACTTGACAATCCATAATTTTAGGTCATTATCAGCTAGCAGATGATTACCTATATATTCGTACCTGTTTCTAATTCAGATTTATATTCTTTTTGTATTAACGAAATAATGTACTTAAATATCGCATCATTATCAACTACTTTTAAAGTTAAGTCAACCAGGTCTTGGATGCTGTCAGGTTGATCGAGAGGGGCAATAACAGACATCAGGGAGAAAACATAATTAAACCAAAATAGCGGGACAGAAAATATTGACTAAAAGACACTTATTAAGTGATCACAATTTACACTATAAAAACTTAAGACAAATTATTAAATCATTAGTTTTATCTAACTATTTTTTGTTTTATTAAATATTTTTTGTTTTTTTATAGTTTTTTAATCGACGTAGAGTATATTATCTTGGTGACTGGTATGGGCTAACATAGGCCAAACTGAAGAGATAATGATAATACAAACAGACCATTTTTCCGTTTGGATCGCAAGCAATTGCTAAAAAGCTAGTTTCATATGAA